GCAAACAAAAAAAAGTTAGGGCTAAAACATCCTCCCTTCTTTCCAGACTCCTTTGTGCTGTTATGGAGAGGTATTTTATGAGGCTTCTTTTGGCTCTACCCCCTCTAGGAAGGAAAAAGTTATTCTCATAAATTTGTATTATGTTTTCTGGGCTTTCACATTTCTCTTCATATGCCAAGCCGTACAATTTTTATGAGAAAATTAAGGGAGGCATTTTTAAGCAGTAAATTAACAAAGTGACTTTAGATGTGCATTATTTTCCTTTTTATCTGATTGTCTTCTTTGCTTACAAGAGAAAAATGCATACTTTTTTTCATAGCTTCAAAGCACCAACTCTTTTGGAAATTTTACTTTTTTAAGTGAATTACTATTATATACTCAGTTCTGCAATATTTGGTACATTATACTTTTTTTTTTAACCTAAGTTGTAAGTGCCATTAGGGTAGGAATTTTTTTTCTGTTTTTTTTTTTTTTATTTTTTAAATCCTCACCCGAGGATATTTTTTTCCATTTCATTTTCATAGAGAGTGGAAGGGAGAGAGAGAGAGAGAGAGAGAGAAACATCAGTATGAGAGACACAACTATTGGTTGCCTCCCACACATCACCCCAGGGCCGGGGAATGAGCCTGCAACCGAGGTATGTGCCCTTGACCAGGACTGAACCCAAGACTCTTCAGTCCCGGGTCAAAGCTCCAACCACTGAGCCAAACCGGTTAGGGCTGTCTGTTTTTTAACTGCTTTATTCCCAACACTTAGAATAGTGCCTGGCACATAGTAGGGACTCAATAAATGTTTGCTGAATAAATGAGGATTGTTATGAAAAGCAAATGTGATTATATGTCTTAAAGCAATTTGAAGGGCTCTGCCTATTAATAAATATAATTGAAAGAAGGGCAAGTAGTTGAGATAATTGGCTAGTGATCAAATATGGTACACTCAGCCTGCAGGAGTGTGGGTAGAAATATTGTTACTGGTTCCCCAGGCGAGCATTTGGAGATTTGGGGCAGGAAAAAGACTTATTTTATTCTAATAAACTATTAACCAAAAGTGATGGCCATGGTGGGTGATAAGTGATAGTTCTTTGAAACTAATTTATTTTCTGCTAAGTCAGAGAGAAGCCATGAATAGATTACACACCCTCTAGAACTACCCACTGAAACCTCGCTACATCATGGGACAGAAAGTCTCTAGAAGGCTGAAACAGATCACAGAAAGATCTCGCCTCCTTTCTCCTTTAGCATCTGCGACTGATGGTGTGCTATCCAGCTGGGGCTCTTGAGTGTCACTGAGTGGCCTTCAGAGCCAGGATCAACCACAGAGAAGCAGAACTGCTGGGAAGCATTATACAGTAGTCACCCCTTATCTGCGGTTTCAGTTACCCGCAATCAACAGAAGTCCAAAAATATTAAATGGGAAATTCCAGAAATAAACAATTCATAAGTTTTAAATTGCGTGCCGTTCTGAGTGTCATGATGGAATCTCGCTCAGTCCCATTTCATCCCACCTGGGATATGAATCATCCCTTGTCCGGTGTATTCTCACTATATACATTACCCGTTAGTCACTTAGCCATCTGTGTTATCAGATCAAGACCAACTGTCTCAGTATCACGGTGCTTGTGTTTAAGTAACCCTTATTTTACGTAATAATGGCCCCAAAGCACAAGAGTAGTGACGCTGGCAATTTGGACATGCCAAATTGTAGTGATAAAGTGCTTCCTTTAAGTGGAAAGGTGAGTGTTCTCAACTTAATAAGAAAAGTAATCATAAACTGTGGTTGCTAAGGTCTATGATCAGAACAAATCTATCCATGAAATTGTAAAGAAAGAAAAAGAAATTTGTGCTTGTTTTGCTGTGGTCCATGAAACTGCAAAAGTGATGGCCACAGTGTGTGATAAGTGGAAAAGACATTAAATTTGTAGGTGGAAGAAAATATGTTCCATTTGATGGCAACGTGTTATCCCAGAAAGCATTGAGCTTATATGAGGACTTCAACAAGGGATCCCCTGAAATGAGTGACCACAGTTACATAACTTTTATTATAGTATATTGTTATAATTGTTCTATTTTATTAGTAATTGTTGTTCATCTCTTAATGTGCCTAACCTATAAATTAAACTTTATCATAGTACGTTTATATAGAAAAAACCACATAGTATATATGAGGGTTCAGTACACTCTGCAGTCTCAGGCATCCACTGGGATCCTGGAACATATCCCCACGGATAATGGGGGACTACTGTAACTGCTAGAGAGCGGATGGGCTGCCCTGGGAATGTCCTCTTCCAGTGTCATTGCCTCACTCCTGCCTGGCTCACTGCACCTACCACACTGTTTTATGATTTTATTCCTGTGTCTGTGTCCTTGTTAAACTGCGAGGTCCTTCTCAGCAGGGAGTTTGTGGCATTTATCTTTGTACCCCTAACTGGTTGTCCAGCTTTACCTGAAAACTCAAGGGCTGAGTGGGCTTTCTCTTTCATTCTGATTTTTCTTTGTTTCTTAAAAAAATCTTTTTTTTGTACTTGTCTGTTAAGTACACATTTTATCAAGGTTTACTGTAGACTGATTTGTTGGATGAATGTATAAAAAAAGAATGGATTGTGTGAAAGATGCCAAGAACCCTAACCATGGAGGCATTTAACTAGAGGCTGAAAACCACCTGGTCTTAGTGCTCACTGTATGCTAATCACTTCTAAATGCTTTCTTTTGTTAGCTCAATTCTCACAGCAACCTTATGAGGTAGCTACTCTTATGATCCTTATTTTATAGATGAAAAAATAGAGGCATAGAGAGCTGGATTCAAATGTAGACAGCTGCACTAAGCCTCTATGCCACGCATCTTCTCTCCTATGTGTCTGCAGAAGTCCTCTGGGGCTAGCTGTAATTGAAACATCAGGTGCAGAGGGTTTAATGTAAATAAACTTGCTTTATGCTACTGTGATCTAATATTCCCATAACTATGAAAAAATAATTAAGATTCAAATTAAGGAAATCATTTTTGATAAATTCCAATTCATTGCTAACTTTTCCTTACTGTTTTTCTGTTATGTCTTTGTTGCCTGTAGAATTAAATCTCCTTGTGAAATTGTGCACCCAAAACCTGTATAATTCTGTTAGCCAGTATCACCCCCAACAAATTGAGTAAAGGAGAAAAAAATCTCCTAAAAATCTAGTACTCACTGTATTTGAGCACAGGAAGGGGGTATTGGGTGTCCCCACAAAGGAAAATCATGAGGCTGTTAGTGGAAATAGGGTTTGGAGCTACCTTATTATTATCGTTAGCCCCTATAAAGGGTGGCCATCCTTTGGGGAACGCCTGGAAAGTGGAGTACCCAGAAACAAATAGTGGAGAAGAGGCTGCATGCAGGGAGCCTGCCCTCCTGAGAACTTAGCCACCGCTTGAGAGCACCTGGGGCCCAGAGCATGGATGCTGACACCCAGCAGCCCCTTCACGCTGCCCCTCACCTCTGGCACTTCTATCCCAATATTCACTCATACACAAGATCAAAAGGTCTTGCTAAAGGAGGGAGGACCCCAGAACTGACATTTTCTTTTCACCTGGCCCCTAATTGAATATGAGGTTTGAAGTTAAATTCTCCAAAAGTTAAATATTTTGCGTTGTTTTCAAAATACAGGGTGGGGGAAAAGTAGGTTTACTGTTTTAAGTACGCCAAATAGTTTATTCGTGTATTATTATTTATTAATTATTGTATCATTTTCCATACGAACAACTGTAAACCTTCTTTTGCCCCATCATGTGTGTCCTGTTTGTAATTAGAGCCCAAGTCAAGCATGTGGGGCATTGAGCTGTTCAAATGTCACTTTTCTGGGATAGATTCTGTATTGTTCCCTTCCTTGCCCCTAACATACACACAAACCACCACCATAACCCACCACCTTAATGGAAATAAAGAAACTCTGGCCCTAGCCAGTTTGGCGCAGTGGTTAAGAGTGTCTGCCTTTTGGACCAAAGGGATCGGATTCTATTACGGTCAAGGGCACGTATCTCGGTTGCAGGCTCAGTCCCTGGCCTCAGTCAGGGTACATGTGGGAGGCAACCAATCGATGTGTCTCTCACATCGATGTTTCTCTCTCTCTCCCCCTTCCATGCTCTCTGAAAAGCAATGGAAAAAATATCCTCGTGTGAGGATTAAAAAAAAAAAGAAAATTTGGGAACTATTGCTGTGTTGGTCACAAAAGATTTTTAATAACGTTGATGAAGATTCAAGTTGATATCCTATGATTTCCCCAGGATGAGCCCAGTAGAGGAGTTTGAGGTGGGTCAGCAGGATCCCATGCTAACACTCTTCTCTCTCCATTTCAAGTTAAATGAACTGGTGGTGGGAGACACCAGTGGGAAGCTGTCGGTGTATAAGAATGATGATAGCCGGCCATGGCTCACCTGTTCCTGCCAGGGAATGGTCAGTATTCAAGTAGCGGGGTGTCTCAAGGTGGGGGAAGGGATTTCTTCTGTCCAGGAATTGTCAAGGCTAAGACCCACACGGGCTCACCAGCGTGTCCTAACTCACCAGCTACTCAGTTTAGCTACTGGTTCAGGGATTGTTTGATTTAGGGAGGGAAGCCCCCAGGCAGTGCTTTCTCAACTGTTACACACACACACACACACACACACACACACACACGCGCACACACACGCACACACGCACACACACACACACGGCTGCGCAGGGGAGGGTCGTATTTTATGGGATGGAGTGACTCCCTAAGAAACTGCCTAGGTTGTCTGATCTTATAAAGTATAGTAGAAAATGGGAGCAGTATTTGAATAAGTCTAGAAACATGATAGTCTGGCTATATTAGAGTTCTTGTTTTGTAAAGATTTCGTTTTGAGCCCAAATTGTCTTTACTTCAGGTCTTTGTATTGCTGTCTGGGTAAACCAAACACACCTATGGCACAATAACTCGATTAACTCAGACTATCAGTGTAGGTCATACGGCATAGCTTTTCAATGAACAATGGTAATTAGAAAACCTGCTCCTTCCTGCTTCATAGACATTAGGGGGTACTAGTCTCCCTCTGTGTCTCCCTGACCCTCCCTTTCTTCTTTTGCAGCTGACTTGTGTTGGGGTTGGCGATGTATGTAATAAAGGAAAGGTAAGAACTCTCGGGGACCTTGGGACTTCAATATAACTCCAAGGCCTTACCTTGATCAATCGCTGTCTAAAGGTGGAAATCAGTTGATAGTTAATGACTTCTGTGTTCTATGGTCAGTCTTTGCTCAAACTTCCCTCCCCAGTCCAGCTCTCCTATATCTCTGTCTCTCCCAGAACCTGGTGGTGGCGGTGAGTGCTGAGGGCTGGTTTCACTTGTGTGACCTGACGCCTGCCAGGACCCTGGATGCTTCTGGGCACCATGAGACCCTAATGGGAGAGGAACAGCGCCCCGTCTTTAAGCAGCACATCCCTGCCAACACCAAGGTCATGCTGATCAGCGACATCGGTGGGCATGGCCGTCTGCAGGCAGCTGGGGGCATAGGAGTCAGTGGGTAGTAGAGCAGACCTCAAGGGAGTTGGAGGGAGGAGGAGTCAGTATTCATTTGTGCAATTGCTAAGGAGAAAATAAATCACAGAAAGGCGCTAGAGAGTGTTAAGGTAGAGGTAGCAGTTCTAAATGGAGTTGTCAGGGAAGTCCTTGCTGAGAAGGTAAAATTTGATAAAAAAAATTGAAGATGGCAAGGGAGTGAACCATATAGACACTGGGCTGATATTTTGAGCAGAAGTTGTCTTGAAAGTGGTGGTAGTTATATTATATGGGAGGAATCAGGACACATCAAGTTGTGTATCCGAGGGAAGTGGTGACAGACCTGTGGAGCAGATGGATGGGTAGGGCTTAGGAACAGGTAGGTGTTGTCAGCACAGGAAGGGCAGGGTAGCCTGTACCAGACTGAGTGTGTGAGGTGGCTCCACAGCAGATCTGGCTTGAAGTCATAGTGGAGAAAAATGCCAGTGGTGATGTTAGCAGAGAAGTGGGGATGGGATGCTTGTAGGATTCAAGCTGATGAATGCAGCTTTGGCTCCAAACTCATCCTATTTTCTGGATCCACAGATGGAGATGGGTGTTGCGAGCTGGTGGTAGGTTACACAGACCGTGTGGTGCGGGCTTTCCGCTGGGAAGATCTGGGCGAGGGCACTGAACATCTGACAGGGCAGCTAGTATCACTCAAGAAATGGACACTGGAAGGTCAGGTGAGAGGCTGACTGTGGGGGGTTTTGGGAGAACAGTCATGGGCCATGACACAGTGTGGGAAGAAGGGAAAATCACCTTGCTGGGAGACATCTAAAGATCTTTTCAAATCAGAGTCTTAGGGGAAATTGTTAGTAATGGCTAATAGGAAGGAGCCCAGTGCTAAGAACTGGGAATGTGAAGGTGGGTGCGGTGTGGTCTGATCAGGATCTGGGCCCCACTTGAGGCATGCACAGAGAAAATCAGGTGGTATATGTGGGGAGGATAGTGCCAGGCAGGAGCCCTGTGAATGCTAGAATTTGTCCTGCTGCAACCCTTGAAGCCTGGGGGACTACTCCCAGGCCCCCTACCCCATTTCTCTCCCCTGTTCTTTGCAGGGTCCCCCTTCTTCTCTCTCCAGCCCCCTTTAAACCTCTGTTCCCTGCTGCAGGTGGACAGTCTCTCGGTGACTCTGGGGCCCCTGGGTGTTCCTGAACTGATGGTATCACAGCCAGGCTGTGCTTATGCAGTTCTACTGTGTACCTGGAACAAGGATACTGGGCACTCTGCTACCTCTGAGGGGACCACAGAGGGCAGTAGGTAAGGGGTGCAGGCCTGTGGATGGTTTGGGGTATATGGGAGCAAGATTGGGTCCCAGATGTCCATGGCAGTGGGTGGGTCTGCAGTTGGCAGAGCTGCTTCAGCTAGGTTTGGCACAAGCACCTCTCTCCTCGTAAGGGAAGACCTATATTTTGGGTCCCAGGGAATCCTGGCTCTGACCCCGTAGCAACTGGAAGAGTTTCCAAGATTCTAGCCTGATAGCTCTCTTTCCTACCTGCCACATAGGCTAGATGCAGTCAGCAGTAGGTTTCCTAGCTAATTCACATCTTTGTAGCTCTTACGGAGTCAGGGCCACAAAGTGCTAGAGAACTAAGCTCACTTGGTCTCCCACTTAGTCCCCCAGTCTCCTGCCCACAGGGAGACCCCGGCTGCCCGAGATGTTATGCTGCACCAGACATCTGGCCGCATCCACAACAAGAATGTCTCTACTCATCTCATTGGCAACATCAAACGAGGTGAAAGCAGGGTGGGACATGGCAAGTTGCTGAGGGTAAACATCACTTTGGGGAGAAAAGAGGCAGGGCTTTCTCTCATTTCTAGTCCTGTCCCTCCCTCCCTGCCCTTGGCTGTCCCTCACCCCATGTGCTCTATTCTTGCCTTGACCTTCATGTTTTCTTCTTCTGGTCCTTCTGTCCCACCCGCAGGCCACACCCCTGAGAATGGTGGCTCTGGCCTCTTTGCCCTCTGCACCCTGGATGGTGAGTTCCCTGGATCAGCTATGGGCCAGTTGTGTGCCTGGGGGTCTGCTCAGGGGTCCTGTCCCACCCATCCCAGCCTGCCTTTCCCCCTGCAGGGACCCTGAAGCTTATGGAGGAAGCAGACAAGCTGTTGTGGTCAGTGCAGGTGGATCACCAACTTTTCGCCCTAGAGAAATTGGATGTCACGGTGGGTGGAAAACCTGGTGGAAAGGAACATTCTTACCTTCTTCACATGGAGAAAGATTTCAGTGAGGCCATTCTCACTTCACAGTTAACTCTCAACCTTTATCTTTCTTTTTTTTTTTGTTTTAATGTTTTTATTGATTTCAGAGAGAGGAAGGGAGAGGGAGAGAGAGCTAGGAACCTCAACATCAATGATGAGAATCATTGATTGGCTGCCTCCTGCACACCCCCTACTGGGGATCAAGCCCACAACCTGGGCATGTGCCCTGACCGGGAATTGAGCCATGAGCTCCTGGTTCATGGGTTGATGCTCAACCACTGAGCCATGCCAGCCGGGCTCAACCTTTATCTTAAGGCCCTCTTTAGACAGGTCTAACTCCCTTTGAAGTGAGTTGTTCCTGTATTCCACAGTGCTTAGCACTCTTCTCTGTGCTCTGGGGAATCTCAAATTCCAGTACCTTTCAGCAGCAGCAGTAGCTCGAAAGAGAAACAGGTAATTTCTAGAGTCCAGAAGCTCATCATCAGTCCCAACTCCAGATGTATGAGTTTATTTCTTGTCCTATGTGAGTCTGTCCTTCCTAAGGCTGTGGCCCCTGAATCTGCAGATGGGGCCTTCCTTTGTGTTACCATCATACGGGCTCAATGGTGTAGAAGAGTCATGAGGCCTTGAGGGAGGGAGAACAGGCCTGGGTTGGAGGTCTGATTCTGCCACTACCCAGCTGAGTGGCCTTGAGCGCATGACTATTTCTATAAGCTGAAGTTCCCTCAGTATCAAATTTGGAGTAATACTGCCCACAGGGTTGATGTGAGCATGATGTGAGCATGATGTGAGGTGGCTCATTTGACAGCCTGGCACTTGAGAGAAATTCAATAAGAAACATAAGGTTGTTTTCTTTCCCAGCCGGCTGTTTGTCGTCCAGAGCCAAGTCCACAGCTCCTTTATATTTTGTCCACCCCGTCATTAGATCTCTTTCTAAAATGTCTCCTGATTACCCCTGTTTTACCTGTTTTACTGAGTTTCCAACAGAGAAGACTTAGAAGAAGAGCCTTTAGTTTTCTGCCTTTTTCAGGGCAACGGGCGTGAAGAGGTGGTTGCCTGTGCCTGGGATGGACAGACATACATCATCGATCACAACCGCACGGTCGTCCGCTTCCAAGTGGATGAGAACGTCCGAGCCTTCTGTGCAGGTGCGCCCCTGCCCCACGGCCCCTCTCGCCACACTCTCTGTCTCTTATTTCCATTCTCAGCGTCTCCCCTAATGTGAGTCATCAACAAATGAGTTCCTTAGCTCTTTCATTAGAGGGTAATGGGTGGGTACTCAGTGGCCGTATTTACAGTTTTAAGTAAGGAAAAGTAAAAGATAGTGAGATCTCCACTTGTGAGTATTTTAAAGAATGGGATGAGTTCTTATCATCTATGTGTGTGAAGACATCAGAACGCTCTTTCCCATCTGAGTATATCAGAACTCTGTGACGAACATTCTCCTAGAGCAGCAACTTTCAACCTTTTTCATCTCATGACACACATAAGTTAGTTACTAAAATTCAGTGGCACCCCCAAAAATATATTTTTTGCCGATCTGACAAAAAAATTAGGTATTATTTTGATTCATCCACACCGGATGGCTATTGTTGTGCTGGCTGTTGGTCATTTTTTTATTTCACAATCTAAGGGAAAAGAGGTCAGTGACCCTGACTAAATAGTTAGGTATTGCATGTTTTAAAAATTCTTGCAGCACATTGGCTGAAAATCTCTGTCCTAGAACATTCCCATTAGTTCCAAATCGGGACCTTGGAAGCCAGCACTCACTCTGAAATGACGTGGCGATATCTGTGGTTAACTGAAGTGAGAGGAATTGAGCAGTGCTCTGGCGTCCATACTCCAGTGCCTTTGCAGAGGGGTTGCCACCTCAGAAAAACCTTAGTTTCTGATTACATTTTGCTGATCTACCCCTTAGACTAGCAAGACTAGCCATTACTCCAGGGCTATCCACTAAGATGACAAAAATCAAGTATCACGGTTTTGGATGCTTTGAGTTTTGTTACTCTAGTTTTTCTATATCTGGTATGGGCCAGATATTTTACCTTTTTACCTGTTTTACTGAGTTCCCATCAGAGAAGACTTAGAAAGAGAGCCTTTAATTTTCTGCTTGGCATCTGTGGGAGGGTCAAAACTGCTAACTGCAGTGCCCATATCTTGTTCTTGCCCTCCCACTGCCTGACTGAAACTTTTTGACCTTTGTGTCACCACCCACACTTCCCAGGCCTGTATGCCTGCAAAGAAGGCCGCAACAGCCCCTGCCTCGTGTACGTCACATTCAACCAGAAGATCTATGTGTACTGGGAGGTGCAGCTTGAGCGGATGGAGTCTACCAATCTGCTGAAATTGCTGGAGACTGAGCCAGAGTACCAGAGCTTGCTGCAGGAGCTAGGCATGGGTGAGTCCCAGCAAGGTGCGGGGCTAGAGGATCAGAGGCCCAGGAGAGCCACAGCTTCTTACCAGCCCCTTTCTTGCCCTCAGATCCTGATGACCTCCCAGCAGCCCGCACCCTGGTTCACCAAACCCTCTACCACCCTGACCAGCCACCACAGTGTGTTCCTGCAAGCCTCCAGGATCCCACCTAACTGGACTTCGCCTCTTAGCTGAAGAAGGATCCTTCTGAACCTATCTACCCCCAAGGTATCCACGATATTGGCAGGATAGGGAATATACATTATAGAGGAGCATGGACAGGTGGCAGCAACCTGTGGGTGACTGTGCACTGTACATCTCACAGTCTTCTCGGTGAGAAAAGAGACAAGTTGACCCTCTGCCCATTTTCTTGTGTACCTAATCCACATCTCCTGGGACTACCCCCTCCCCAGAGCTCCCACTGTTGTATGGAAAACAGACTTGTTTGTGAGGAGGCAGCACAAATCTTTTGTGTGGCCCCGACACTCATGAGGAAACTAGGCTTCGGGCAGTTGAGGCAAGGGTTCTACCCCATCCCAAGCTCCACCTTCCCTATCACAACTCCAGGTCATTGACAGCAGTTATGGCAAACTGTTAGCTTTGTTTTTGAGGGTCCTTTCAGGACATTTTACAGTCTGGTTTTTCTGTGTCCCCAGCAACCCTGAGATGATTTTGCTCTATTTTCCAAAGAAGCTGGGTCAGCAGTCTCTCATTTTGCATATTCTTCAAGTATCGTGCAGCTTCATAGGCCTTGCTCCATTTCCCATCCACCCATTTCCACAAAAACACCTTATTGTCTATGAGACAATGGACATTTAAAACCTGATACAGGTTTATGATCCAGACCATAATCAGAATTATATCATGGGCCATTTATATCCCTTTTGCTCTTAATTCTGTGTGCTTTAAATCAGTATCTGTCAAATTGTAGGTTACAAACTTTTAGTGGGTTGTGGTCAGCATTTTTTGAGTAAATGAAATAGAATACAATAAAATGAAAAATAAAGTATATTGATCACAGCATATGAAAACATTGTTTTGTTATAATTGTATGTGTATATGTATACTGGGTGTAATATAAAATATATTTCCTGCTTTGAATTATGTTCAAAAGAGTTTGAAAGCTACTGCTCTAAATTGTATTGACCCCAGCCAGATGGATCAATCCGGGGAAAGGTCCACATTCACATTTCCCTTTTGAAAGGGTTAAGGGCAGAGTTATCATTCAGCCTCTGGTGGGCTTGGAGCAAGACCAAAGAGGGATATTACCATAGAGAAACAAGTGTTTATTCAAATGGAAAAGCAGCTGAGCTGAGGGCCAGCCCTGGAGCCTGGGGTCTACAGTCTGCGGTCTGCAATTACAGAAGCAGCAGGAGGCAGAAGGGAAAGGAACAGGCTGAGACCAGGAAAGCAGAGGTCATGGAACAAGGCAGTGAGGGACCAGGGTCCCACTACACGTGTGCTAGTGAGCCCCTCTCCTCGCCTTGTGAGGGCAGGAGACTTAGCCGAGAAAGGTGAGGCCAGGTGTCACAGTGCAGCTGCTTGCATCCTGGTTCTTCTCTAATCTGTCCCAGGCTCAAGATTTTGTTTCTAGCCCAAGGTCCTAGTTCCCTAGTTCAGGTTAGTTACACCACTCTTCTACCCGTCATCCATGATTTCAGAGGCTCACATCAGCCAGAAAGACACTCAGGGGTCTGGCTTCTTAAGGTCTGGGTTCCTCTCTTCACCGTGAAGAGCCTCCTTGTGCTTTGCTTTGGCTTAGAGCCTGTCAGGGGATAAAAAGCCACTGATTCCAAAATAAGACAAGCTTCAGCTCTGGAAGCCAGAGGTGAGGGGTAGGAAGAAGGTGTAATGAGGTGGATAGTTCTAGAAATAAGGGGCACTGGTTAGGTAAAGTCTGAGTACTGACAACCCCACCATCCTGTCTGTCCTTGGGGGCAGCTCTCTACAGGGCTCTTATACACGCCCCCTGAAGTTCAGGGGCCCAGTGGGTGAAAAAGCAAGTGGAGAAGGACAGATATCTGAAGCAAATATCAGAGGGATATCCAAGGTTTGCACAGCCCAGAAAAGGTGACTAACAGAGCTCCCTGCCTCGTGAGCGGGCATTCCTCTACCAAGCCACCTTCCCATTGTAGTGAAGTATTCCATTCAGTGTTTTCCCCCCACTCAACTGAGCAGATGTGCAGAACCGGAAAGGTTGGCACCAGCAGGGCTGGGGACCACGTTGGTGAGGTGTGGCTTCTAGCTGTGAAAGATAATGGGCCCAGAAGGTGAGGTGAGGGACATGGGAGTAAAGGCAGTCGAGGGGTTTGGGGTGGCCTTGGGGGATATGCGGAGGCCAGTTTCTGCCAGGCCAGGGCCCAGCCTGGAACCCCATTTTGCTTGTGTCATTTCCTGCAGTCCTGATCTGGCTTTGCTCTTCTCTGGAGGGAAACCAGAGCCCTGAGATCCTGGACCCTCTCTGGGAAAACTCCTCCTGGGGGAGGGAAGTTGCCAAGAAGCAGAGAAGAATGTGGCTGACAGGGAAATGGAGCAGCATGGTCAGGGTGGTGACAGAAGGCACAGACAAAGCAGTCCCCAGCTACCTGGCTGTAGTAATGTCCCCATACCCCACATGGCTCTTCCCTAAGTCACAGTACTTCCCCCGGGGACTGACTGGGACAGCAGTCACTGGCCAGGCTCTTGGTACAAAGGCAGGAAGGGCAGCTCTGGGAAAGGGGCTTTCAGCCGTAGCACTCGGTGTTCCAGGTCGATACAGCACTGTGGGCAGGGAGGGGAAATGTGAGCTTCCCTCAACAGTAACCTCTCTCCCAGCCACCTCTTTTTTGTTCCCCTTCCTGCTTCCCCCAGCTTCTCCCGGCTCCTTGCTTCCCCCTGTTTCCATTCACCTGGACCCCTGTCAGGGAGGACCCAGTTCTCCATATTTTTCATTTGTGGGCAAATCAGGAACCTCTTAGGAAGCAAAGCTGCAGTCGCGTGTCATGTCTTTCACCTGAACCTTACCCAGGCTTCCACACCTGTGCCTCCTGCCTCTCTTTCCCAGCCCTTGGTCAGGCCCCAGAATGTTAGCATCCTCCTTACCTTGAGAGAAAGCAGAGTCTGCAGTCCGAGACAGAATTCAGGACTCTCAACATCTGCAGGAACCACATGAAATCAAGATACTGGAGGATACCTGGTGGTCACTGCTGCCCTCCTGCCAGCATGTGCCCCTTCTCTGCCCATCCCACCCCCAGGTCTGAGAATCCTGGCACAGATATTGGGGATATTCAGAGCATCTTTGGGGACACCTTGTAAGGTGCTGGCAGGGCTGGAAGTCTCCACCTTTGCCCTCCCCCAGGAGAGAAAGGTAGAAGAGATGAGAAGTGGGCTGTTGATGAAGGGAGGACTTACCCACCACCTGGGCTGAGCATGCCACAGTCTCCTGTCCTAGCTGTAGCTCCAGCTGCTCCACCTGGGTTGGGGGTCCAGGTGCCAAGTCCCCTCCTGGGGCTTTTAGGACCCTCTTCCCTAACCTGTGGTTAGGAAGCAAGGGTTATTGCCACCACAACCTCCACTCCCATCCCTTTAGTCAGGTAACGTCCCTTCCCACCACACTAGGTTCTCACCCAGTCCCTCGCCCTCCATAGGGTCTAAAACCTTGTCTTCTCTGCCAGAACCCCCATCAACTAGATATAGTTCATATACCATAAGAATCACACTTTTTAAATGTACAATTAAGTGACTTTTAGTATTTATAGGGTATATTCACTACTATCTAATTTCAGAATATCATTCCCAAAAGAAGCCCATTTCCCATGAGTTATTTTGAGTCATACTCTTACCCCAGGCGGGTGAGGCATCCAATGGAGATCTGGTTGTAGTGGGTGCCTGTGTCCACAGCCACCCTAAGCAACTGGTCCCGGCACTGAGAAAGAGGGTTGTAGGGGATTTGGTGAATCCTAGGAGAATGAACTGGGACCTTCCCCTTCCCAGCCTTGGATGACTTCCTTTCAGAAACGAGTGAAGGGAATGAACTGAGTCTTTAAAAGTGGGTTTCACGGACTTATACAAATGAGGCAAAATTGGTTCACATTAAGAAAATCAAAAAAGGAAGTGAGCTGCATGTAGTGGTGAGTCCATCCGTTTGGGAACAATTTGACCAGAAATAGAAATCTATTTGACTAGAAGAATTCTTGGGAGGCTGAAGACCACCAGGTTAGAGAAATCTAGTTAGGAGTAGAGGAGGGATAAGGAGACCTGGAGACCTTGTTAGGAAATTCAGATGTGGGTAAGAGACATTCACCACGGGAAGCAAAGGAAGGCACATTCATTTTCTTTTGAACATATACAGACATTTTGGGTTACACTTATATATCACAAACACATGGTTCTCTCATTCCAAACATTTATTGAGCATCTAGTATGCATTGGTGTTGCTCGAAGGGACAGCAATGAATACTGTTCTTTCGGAGTCTAGGGGCAGTGAAATGTAACTGCTATATGGTAGAAAGTCTTAAGACCTACGAAAGGATTGTCAGTAAAGTGCCCTAGACATTGAAAAGGAAGAAAGGCTATTTCCTATTGGGGAAATCAAAAGGTTTCAAGGAAGAGGTAACATCTGAGGCTTAAGAGATTGTAGAATGTGGACGTAAAATGATTGCAAAGCAGGCAGAGGAAATGCTGAGCCAAGGCAGTGGCCTAAGAGCAGTGGGCATTTATTAGGTATTGGTTGGGTGGTTAAATGGCTCCAGAGATGACAAGGCCTTCACATGAGCTTTTACAGGAGGGTTGCATTACCCATCCATGCATAAACCACTCATTATGTAGAGCACCTGAAGAGCATTTACATATTCACATTTAAAGATTATACTTTGAGAAACTCTAAAACCTCCTTAGAGTAGGAGACAACAAGATGGCAGCGTAGGTAACAGTGGTACCCGCCCCCTCCCACAACCACATCAAAATTACAACTAAAATACAGGACAACCATCCTTCAGAACTTCCTGAAATCTAGCTGAACAGAAGCCCTACAACCAAGGAACTGAAGAAGCATCAAGACCAGGGAGAGGGGTGGAGCCATAGACAGATGGGGGCTGAATTGCAGAGATGCTGACCCGTGAGCCCATACCCAGGTGCTGAGGTTTAAAACCCAGGGGGTATCTTGGCAGTGGAGGTTTCCCAGAGGAGTGAGGGGTTCAATCCCCACATCAGGCTCCCAACCCAGGGTTCCAGGGCCGGGAAGAGAAGTCCCCACAACTTTGGGTTGTGAAAACCAGCAGGGATTGTGGCTGAATACACAGAGGCTGCGGGAGTCCCAGGCAGCTCCTCTTAAAGGGCCCCCACACGGATTCACTCAAACACACTCCCTCTGTGCTGGGCAGCAGCTTGAAAGGAACCTGGGACATTTAGGGAGGAACTAACTTGCCTGGAATCAGGAGAGAGCTGGAGAGGCAGCTTTCTCCCAGAGAGAAGAGCTGGCAGAGGCCATTGTTCCTTTGACGAGCCCTCCCCTCACACAGCCAGCAGGCAGGGACCATATTTAAATCTCCAGCACCTGACTCACACCTTTCGCCCCACCCTGGTGACTCCCGGAGACCCCACTCCTCCCTGCTTGCAAGCCCATCCAAGCCACTTCCAGTGGCTTTTCTATGCAAGTGGCCTCTCTAGCCTCATGCTTAAGACTTTCCTAAAATATCTGAAACAAGCAGCAGCTGGCCTCAGCATGCCCCATACCTCTTGATAAGTGGCCCCAGGCCTCGTACTAGCAGCAGCCTGCATTGGTTCATAGCTTGGCCTCTCCTGGACACCTCCAAACCCAGCACAAGTAGCAGCCAACTATAGTTTGCTCTGTAGCTCATGCTGGGTGGCCCTGGGCAAGGCACAGGCAGAGGCTGACTTTGAACCTCCTGGGAGGCCCCAACACAGCAAACCTGGTGGTCAGCTTTGACCACACTGGATTACAATTCTACCACATCCATGAGTGACACACTCAAGGGGCACACTTGGTGAACACCAAAGCCCCACTGAAGTAAATCTTGCTCCAC